TAATTACGTAGGAATTTCAAACATGCAAAAAATTTGCTTGAGCATCGTATATAATTATTTTAATAGTCAATAAAATTACTTTATAATCTGCATCTAGCTAAATTTTTAGATACTTTATCGTTTTTTCTGTTTACCATTTGTATGTTTCTTTGATTGTATTCTCCATTATTACAAGACGTACTAATTACAAATAGACCAGATCTCTGACGACTCGATATTCACGCGATTAGCGCATCATCGTATTTTTAACGCCCAAGGTTAATTGTGATCAGCGTTAATTTGCCGCATACATAACGCGCTTCGTGCGTAATTGGTAGACGCATAAATTGTCCCGCGATAAAGATTTTCGCGAAGAACTCGAGATAAGATCGCCGCGTGAGACGGCGAGGGCATTAGCACCTCGTTGAGGGAGTTGGATCTCTGCCTCCTATTTTTAAGGGCCGATACTAATTGCGGACGGCGTTAATTTACAGCGTAGGTGTCACGCTTCGTGAGATGTATATTCCAATAAATCGTTCTACAATGCGGAGCGAAGTAATGCCACGCCGGCGTCTAGTGCAGTTCGATTTTTTATTCGTCGCAGTATATACCCGTGATATTAATTGTGAGCCTTGTTGATTTATATAAGCATGTGTAAGTCCCGCTGCGGGATGAAATACGTTGCAGATAAGTATATGCAAGATTACAGTGCAGGATGAGGACGTAGAGACAAAGACCGCGGAACGGGCAAAGCGTTTACTTTCGTTCTCAATAATGTGGTAATCATATTCCCATTTTGCAGGTGCATCGAAAGGTTAGAAAACGATTAATCACACTTGTACATTTATAATGTATCGTATTTAAGAACATGTACCTAACATGTATGTTACACGCGGACTATATTATGCAAAAATGAGTTAAACAACAATTTGAGATAATATAGGTTTAAAATTGTCTAGAGTTTGTCTAGAGACAATCTCTCTAAAATCTTTAAGTAGAATCTAATTCTAAACAGTGACAATTGAGACAGTGTTGAAAAAGAATTGCTCACTTGTCAATATTAAAAGTGAGATTTCACTCTTTAGAATTAGATTCACTCCAAAAAGAGTTTCAGGGATTATCAATTATATGTACATAAAATCACAATTTTTTTTACATTTTTTGAATTTATTTCATTTTTGCGTAATATATGAATTGTTCACAAAGAATTGTTTTGCTGAAGTCTAAAAATTATCTGGATACGGATAAAAATAGTTTTGTTGGACTGTCAAAATAATTATTTACGATGCTTAAACTGATTGTTAAAATATCAAAACTTTTTACAGTATCACTCATTATACTTGAGATTTCTATGTAATTATTTTAATAATTATTTTAATCGTTCAATAAAATTATTTTCAGGTTTGTATCTACAATATATATTAAATTTTTAGATTTTAGCAAAATTATTCTTTCTATATGGACAATAAAATTTAAATTGGAATATCTATCACAGATTTGCGAATTTAGAAAAGACAATTGATTCCAAGATTGTTAAAGAATTTGATTTTGGCATATCACATTTACACTGTAAACAATAAAATGTTAATTTTAACTTAAAGACGTTTAGTAGACTTTCTGAGACGTGCAAAAATGTTAAAATTAACACAAAAATGTTATAAGAAAATCCACTAAACGTCTTTAAGTTAAAATTAACATTTTATTTTTTACAGTGTACGCATTGTAGAACATTGTAAATTTCAGATTCATGTTACTAAAACGAAAAAAAATCGTGTTCGCACGAAAGTCTAGAAGTACTGGACGAGAGGAATGCTTTCGCTTTTGCATCGATACGATATGCCAGCGAATAAGCTCTAAAATCCAACGCGAAACGCGCGGATAGGAACGAACGTTTAAAGACTCGGACAAATTGCGATCTGACCGCGTGTCCGCCTTCTTATACTAATATGCGAACACGTTCGTAGTCTCGCGCGGAGAGCTCTTCTCACTACGTGAGTCTTACATGCAACTTACATAGACACTTGCACAACTATGTCGAGTTCTGTACAGTTAAGTGTAACTACGTGCTCGTAGTTACACGCTCGTAGGCTACCGCATGCGTCCTAGCTCCGCGCGTTACGTATACAGAGTGTCCCTGAGCCGATCGCCTTTCCTTCCAGCATTAAACGCTGTAACATCTAAATGATGGACTTACGCCTGAGAAACATATTTCAATTTTTCGACACGTTTAATAGATATGGAGAAAAAGATTCGTGTAGATTAAATCTTGAAAAATCTTATGATATCCCTCCGTACAGCAGATAAATACGATAAATGAGATAGGCGATCGAATCCTGTTGATAAAATTGGCTTATCGAAAACTATCTTGTATAACTTAGTCCTATACGTATCAGTGATCCTCAGCCGGGCGTTTCGACCACTGTATTTTCCGCTATTATTACAGCCTGCGGCTTTTTGCCAGGGTATACAGATAGTACAAACGATTTTATACGCCTCTACTTAGCCACTATCGTCTCGGCCGCTAAAAAATCCTATCCGTTCCGAGCCAGGAATGTGTTAATGCGAGGCGAAGATTGAGAAACTCTGGGCTACGCGCAACTAGGGGTCCGCCGGCGGGCCTGATACCGGATTATCCGAGTAGAAAATGTAATGGAACGAGTAAAGTTTGCGTTCACGCATCGTTGGTCCCGTCTCGCGTCTGGCGAGGGAGGCACCATAAGAACCGTCGACACAGTGCAACACCAACGCGATTAGGTAACTGAAACCATATCGACGTATGCACGCGTGCTACTATGTGGGTGTACCACCGGCGTAACCAACCACGTTGCGCGCTCGCCACGCGATGTGGCAGGATAATGCACCGATAACACGGTCGACTCGCTGAACAGTTTCGATCCAGATTCCACGAGCCAGCCTAGTTTCCAGAAGAATCGTGCGAAACGCGATCACATTCCTTGTTTTTCCTGTATTCGTAACAGTGTGTTTTCCAGTCTCGTTCATAAAAAGATTACTTTTCTATAGAGATTTCAGGACGAAATGTTAGTCTTTAGATGAAGTAATAACCTCCGAACGATCTCTAATATAATGAAATATGTAATTTGAATTTTATCAAATTTTTCTGTAAACAATAATTAATTAATTTAGATCGCTATGAAGAAATCAAATATTAGGTGTTAAACTTAATTCCTGCCGTTTTTCGTCTCTAAAATTGATTTGTTTCGAAGGGAAGATGAATGAATACCTTAATCAAAGTAATTTCCTCCATTTTCTACTTTATTACTAATTAATAATACTTTATTAATAATACTTTGAATAAGGTATTTCTCTTCGAAACAAATCAATTTTGGAGACGAAACGGCAGGAATTAAGTTTAACACCTAATAAATAAAGAATGAGTACACTGTTAAATTTTATAGGGTCAAATTAACTCAATGTGAGTCGCCACTACTCCTATTAAATATATCGTTATTTTTTACTAAAATGATAATTAAATTTGACACTGTATAATGTTAAATTGATACTGTATAGTGTCAAATATAACCATTGTTTTAGTAAAAAATAATGATATTATTGAGTAGGAACAGTGGCGACTCACATTGAGTTAATTTGACCCTATAAAATTTAACAGTATATAAGAAGTCAATGCTTGAGATTAGATTTTGATGTCTAATAACGTTTCTCACAAAAAGATCACACTTTTCCGAAGCGAGATGCGAATTAGCCTTTATATAGTAGAAGTAATAATCTCCAAATGATCTAATGTGATGAAATATCTAATTTGAATTTTATATAGAGTTCCTCCATAAAATTTTTAGATAGTTTTTGCACCTTATATTACTTCTAATCTCATTCACAAAAAGGTCACACTTTTGTAGATTTTAGAACTACTCAGAAATATTAGTCTTTATATGAAGTAATAATCTCCGAACGAGATTCAACGTGATGAAATATCTGATTTGAATTTTATAGAGTTTCTCCGTAAAATCTTTAGATATCTTTCGCGCGTGATGTTTCTTCCAATTTTGACACGTATATTGCGAGTGGCATTAAAGTGGCGTGTTGCGATTACATGTATGACTTTGTGCGAAAGACGATCATTAGACATCAAAAGTGGTTTTGAGTGGCGCAGCGCGGCTTTAAAATTATTACGTCGCCTTGCGTGAACGAACACGACAGTTTAACGATCCTCCTAAGGCGCAAACGAAGCAGAAACTTAGTTCCGACGATTGATCGTCGTGATCAACTAGACTGCTGTTGGATAAATTAAGGCATAACAGGTAAACAGCTCGTTAACGATACTCGACGATGAGCATGTTGCGTTATTGTCGGGTCAGCTTGCCGCCGAACTGAGAGTCATTCGACACTCGTGTATCGCGGATCCGCAAGATCGTGTAATGGCGTCATATTTACGCTCTCTTATCTAACTCAATCCGGAAGAAAAGCTGCCAGGAGGCCCGTTCACAATCAATCTTTGTCAAAAGCATCTTATAGTAATAAGGGATAAAACGCACGCGAATCTATGCGTAAACTACCTGCAGGGAACGATATTTATTGGAAAATGTAGTATGCAAGACAGAAGAATAAATCAATCCGCCAAAAAAACATTATTCTGATGTAGAGTGCAATAAATATAATATTAATTAGACTGTGGGTAATAAGCGGAAAGTGTTTAAGAGCCTTTTACTGTAATAAATTGTAATAAGCACGCAAGACGAAGGAATATTATGAATTATCTCTTAAAAATATGTGATCTTGATGCAGAGTGTAATAAATATAATATTAATTAAACTGTGTGTAATAAGTGGAAAATGTTGATGCCTTTTACTGTAATAAGTAAGGTATATCTTTATTTACTTATAATTTATCGATATGGAGATTGACTTGCCTCGCGTTTTTATGTAATTATAATTGATAAAAAGTTGAATTTATTTTTACATTGAAATATTTGGTAATGTAATATTTAGAGTATCGGATTAAGTAAGTCTGATAATTGGTTAACATCTTTTTATTTTACTTTTCAGAAGCTGAAAAAATTCTGGACAAGTCACGGAAAAAGAGCGGCATCCTTATCAGTAAGTCAAACCACATAACTAGTATTTTTTATCCAGTGATCTATGCTCTTATCTATTAACGTCATTTTAATCTTTCCTGTTTCTTTTTCTTGTTAGTCTTGATCGTTTCGAATCGATTAATTCCTGCTATTTATCTCTTTAAAAGCGTAACAATCGTTGCACGTATGAACTGTTTAAGCAAAGTATATTTACGTAAGTTCTATTATTTTTCTTTATAAGAAAAATACAAAAGAAATTTATAAAAATACTGTAATAATAAATTATAACAATAAAATCTAATTACGTTATTATAATAATTATTATAGTTTTACGAAAAGAAGAGAAATGATTTTATCTAAAATTTTATGTCTTAAAAATAATTAGAAAAATTGAGATATTTTTATTTTGATTATTCATAATTATTCAATATTATTTAAAATTACTAATTTCTCTCAAATTTAGGCTACAAAAAAGTTAGGCTATAATTACATTAAAACTTAATAGAATATTTGCTTCGAAGTATGAAAAGTAATAATGTTCATTATTGTCGACGATAAAAAATAAAACACAATATGCCCATTTTATTATTTATAGATACTTATTTAACGTTATTAATTGCGTCGATGTATTATTCGAAAGCATATACGTGTTCCTGTAGAAAAAAGGATACATCTATCCCAGAAATAATAGATTAAATTATAGTGTTATGGAAAGCGATATTACTTCCGGAATTAATGGATTATGAAGAATTTCCGATCGAATGGCGTTTCCTCTTTTTAAACGCGATCACAGAGCGCGGGCGGTTTATAAAGTCATTATCGGAAAAGATATATATGCAATCATGAATTCTTATTCGTCGTCGATGAATGCAGTAGATCGTGACGCAATGTGAAAGGATAAAGGATACATTGCATACATCAACATTTATCATTTTCAAAAGTATCTTATCTCGCATATTTTATCACATCGTTAAATGACTAAGCTTGAAAAAAAATCCTCGCCAAAATTAATCTTCTTCTTCGTTTGTATTATACATCGTCATAAATGATTCAACATTGAATGATAAATTCTGACAGTATCGTATATTCGAGAGAAAATATAATACTTAAATATAGAAACCCCGATCATCTCGGCTTCGATCAATTTGTAACGTCATTCGTGTGATCATCACAACCTTCGCCCATGGCCTTCTTTTAAGCTCAACAAGGTTACTACCGGTTGTGATCTACCGATAATGCATGAGGCGTACTTGGTCCATCGCAGGATATTTATTGAGCTAAAGGAAGAAGAAATTGCAAAGCAAAAACTTGTTATTTATCGGATAACAAGACTCTTATCTACATTCATGCATAAATTTATCCTAATGAATTATTTAAAACTCATAGCTGAGGCTTTGAATATAACCAGATTAGAGATATATTATTTTTCTTTGAAAGATCCAACTCCTTAAACACTTTTTCGTACATGTACCAAGCATCGTACCTTTTCATCGAGAGTAGATTGCATTCGGATTATTTGATTCACTGGGTTTCCAGGACTCTTCTTGCGCGCTAAGACGGGCGTGGACTACGAGCGTTGAAAATCGCGGCTGACCCGTGTGCCAGATATTTTTTTTCCTCGCGACGCGCGCTCCTCCGGGGCCAGCCGGTTGGCCGACTGTTCCCGTCGACTGTACCGGCGGCCATGCATCGCCGATGAGAATATGACCCCGGCACGTATAGCTCGAGCCTCGAAGTAAACTACATAGGCGTTGCGCGCGTCTCTCTCGACTTCGCCAGGCGAGTCGGTGGTCGTGCGAGTCGGTGTCGTCGGCACGGTGCTTCGTGTGGCGTAGGTGATGGCGGTGCCTTGCCTTGGTGATGGTGGGAGTACCGCAAGGGTCAATCCACGGTCCACCATTATATTCCCTCGGCGAAGTCGTGGTACACGGGGGCCTCGGAGCGGGTTCACAGCTAAGACGACGACGGCGACGACGACGATGACGGCGACGACGACATTCGAACGCTTAATGGTCGGAATTTGTCTGGTCGGCAGGTACACTGACAGCTAGTCGGTAGAGTTAGTGACTTGGGTTGGCTCGGTTAGAGACCGAGATAGCTAGGATAGAAGAGGATATGAGGAGCACATGCGAGGCAACGTCGGTGTGCAGAAATCAGAAATGTGGATCAGTAAAAAGGGATTCTTTCACGTTACACAAAAATATAAGTTAAAATCCATAAGTTGTAAAAACGGTTATAGCTACATGAAAAGAACGATTTTGCTGAAATATTTAAAGATGTAACTAAATACAGATATCTGAATATAATTTGATTAACTGTATCAAAATATTTATATAGAAAACTCAAGCATGAGCAGTGTCGCACAAAATTTTAATATTTTAACAGCCAGTTCGAGCGTCTCTACGTAATTATTTTATTAATAGTCCAAAAAATTATTTTCTGATTTGTATTTAGCTAAATTTTTCGATACTTTAGCAAAATTATTGTTTCCGTGTAGGTTGGTAACATAAAACTATGCATTTAATATTTAATTTAACTAAAATTTACTGAGTGAATTCAACAAGTTATTAGTTCAATAACAAGTTTTGTATGATAATGTCATTCATATGAATTGTTGCACTTAATTTCTAAGTATCGTAAGTGTTCAGGTATTTTTCATTAAAAAACGTTTTTCTTCCGAGATTTACGCCGACGTATTGTTAAAACTTATCATAACCGTAATTTTAAGCGTTTCATGTTAGAAGAAGCAGCTAATCGTTAAGAAAGCGGTTAATCTATATCCATCATCTACACAGTTAAGATTCTTTAATCATCTAATTAGCGGGATTGTTAACGACCGAATGATCGGTAATTCGTGCATATGTGGTAGTGACTATGTGTGTGCACGAGTACCAAACGGTCCACCGTCCTTTAAATACAACTTTGACCTTTAAGAGGGGTGGAATGTATCGTTTGCAAAAAAATCGCCACGAAGAAATGACTCTATCGTAATTAAACCATTGACGTTGGAGGTACCGTAAGGGTCAATCCACGGTCGAACATCATATTCTTCGGCTAGGAGCATGGCTTTAGGAGCGGGTTCGTATAACTGCAACACACAACGTTCGACGCTTAATGGTCGGAATTTGTCTGAATGGCAGGTAACACTGACAGGCACTCGGTTTAAACTCGGTGAGTGGAGGATATACCGGTTACAGAAACCCGCGGTATCCAGAAAGTTCTCCGGTAATTCAAGGCTCGCCCGGGTCGCCGATTAACGTATCGATCATTAGACGATGCCGATCGAGGCGACTTTTTCCCGCGACCCAGCTAGCCGCGATCACTTTAAAGTTCAAATTGAAGCCTACATAACGAGACAGAGGCTTACCTTCTCTTCTCGTTTCTTTCATGTTTATGTCTGTTCATAGCAGAATATAGGGCGGAAACAACCAATAATGCAGAAGTTTTAACGAAGTTTTTCACGTTTAGACACATTTATCAAACAGACAGATATATATTCTTCATAGAAAAGATTTAAATATTTGTATTTAAAAATAAAATTATTTTCTTTTCTATATCCAAATTTAATTGTGAATTAGTTTTTACAGTCTTTAACTCCTTCAGATCTGATTTTAATAAAACTATTAAAAACATTTTATAATTCTTACGAGCACTTTAATTTACTAAAAAATTCATTTTTTTTTTCAAAATTTTGACTATTTTTCCGACATTATTATGTACATCTGCAAGTCTTAAATGATGTCGATAGAATTAAATAACTTCAATAGATAATGTCTTCAAATTTTTTTATACATTACAATGACACCGAATCTGAAGAGATTAAAAAATATAAAGTATAAAATTTCATTACTTAACAATTTTGGTATTAACTCTTCGTCTGTAATCTGGATCTTTTTTGGCATAAACAAAATTTTACTCTTAAATTTCTTCCCCAGTTTTCAATTTTTATTAAATAAACATTTTAACATTTAAGTTAAAAAATTGAGGATATGAAAAGTATTCTCTTTCAGCTAAACAACTTTTTAATTAAGGTTACATATTTATATTTTTATATTGGTAGTAATGCAAACAGTTTTATAACAATAACTTACGCAAATGACGATATGTTAAGTGACAGTGTCTTAAATTATCGACGTCATCGTACAAACAACGCCAGGATTATGGAGTCTTAAAGATCGAAATTTATCCGAACAAGCAGATACACGAGTTATAAGTTAAGAAAGTAAGTAAGAAGTTAGAAAAATCATTAAGGGAAACTAACGAGACATGTGCGTGGAATAGCCAAGTGGCTTACAATCCTTTTAGATCTTGTCATTTTCAGTTTCACTGATCATTAATTGGCTGTTGCCAATTGTCGAACGATGTTAACTGACTGGTTCGACCGTTTTCCCTGACGAGAGAACGGCACGAATCGACAAATCGATTTGTGCCACGAAACCTATTACGTTTAATAGAACATGGGAACAAATTGCGCTTTCGCCGCTTTCAAAATAATATTGTCTTAAACGTCGAATCATCGTTTTAAAAAATTCAATATTTTTAATACTAAAAATTCGGTTCTTTAAAATATTATATAACATCGAATTTAAATAACATCTGTAAGAGAATTATTTTATTTTATTTTTTTAAGAGAGCATTATACTATAATATTTTTTAAATATTTATTATACAATTCAATTAATATCTTTGATTTTTCTATGTATTGTTTAATTTAACAGATTAATCAATTTCATTTTCATTGAAGAAATTGCCATCTATTTTTCTATCAGTCAAATCAAGTTATATAAGCATTGTGCCGTAAATAAACCGATTAGATCGCAGCGGAAACGTCAAATACAAGGATCCCATGACAAATTTCATTCGCGGCATCGAATCAGTCGGCGATTCTTCCGCCTGTCTGCAATCAGGAAAAGACGAGTTCCCGGACGAGCTACGTCTGTTGACCGATCGGCATAATCGGCGTGCCGGTTGTGTGCGATGCCTTTTTCGGCGAACTGTGAATGTAGCCTGAGGTCTGGCATT